GTTCAAACCCACCAGCCACTCCTCAGAAGGAAGGTTGGGCAATCTACTTCCGTAGTGATACTGCCTCGGAAACCCAAGGGGGGGTCACTATGATCGGACACGACTCGATGGCAGTGGGTTTGGTTTTTGGGTTAGAGCAGAGAAGCCTGGTCTCGTGTGGCTGAGTCCCCACAGAGAGCTTCTCTAGGAGGCCTGCCCCCGTCATTACCAGGGCAGGAGAGCGTTCTTCCTCTTGCTCTTTGGAGACTGGGACACGGCAGGGGTCCCCACAGGGGCAGGGTGTCGAGGGTGGTAAGTGTCGCGGCACCTACTTACCGATGCACGTGTGACCGTCTGCACGGAGGGCGTACTTCTGGTGGCAGCCACACGTGGGGCCCGTGTCCGTGTCCTCGCAGCTGTGTTGGCAGCCTCCATTTCCATAGTTACAGGTTACTAGTTAGGCCCAAAGTGTCCGGACGTGTGTGTAAACAAACGACAACAAAACCATTAGTTTGTGGTGTTGGTGCTTTCTTTTCGGGGGTGGGGAGGTACGTGAGGGCTGGACAGTGGACACACAGCTCCCAGGCCTTCTGGATGGAACCATCCACGCCTTAGGTGTGACCCAGGATGGGACAGAGGTGTGCAGACCACCTTCTGGGCTTGGAGAAGGGCTGACCCACAGCTAAGATGCTGGAGGGGTTGCGTGAATCCTACCCTCAGTCACAGAGGGCACTTTACAACAGCCTGTCTCAATGGGGTGAACGCTGACGCCAGGGCAGATGAGCAGGGGCCGTGGGGAGAAGGGACGCTCCCCAGCTCCTGTACAGCTTTGCTGTGGAAGCCTCCGTCTGGGGTGTGAGGAAGGGCGTGAACACACACAATCCACCTCCAAGCAGCCCCGCAGAGCCGGTCCCCTCCGAGCCTGATCCTCCCACACAAACCGACACCAACGGATGCTACGTGAGGGGGCCTTTCGGAAACGCTAAGCCAAAAGCAAGGACAAGTTCACGTTTATTTAAAAGGAAATCTACCGATCTTCCTTCCCAGGGTGACTATCGCCCAATGAGAAGCAGGGCTCTGGATCTCTGGAAGGCGTTCTCAGAGCCCTGCGTCCCTGTGCTAAGAGGGGGCGCCGCGCCAAGCATCAGGATGCAAGGGCGCCCCAGGCCTCGTGGGCGTCCTGTCTTCTTAGCCATTTGCGCAGAATGCTGTCTGTATTCACTGACTTGGCAAAAGCCTAATGCTTGAATATGCAAATTCAGTATGCACAAGTGAACCTCAGACCCGCCCTGCTCAGAGACACCCAGCGCTCCGAAGCCGCAGGCCCTGTGACATGTGATCGGATCGACACAGGGCGCAGCTAATGGTGGATGGCAGCCAGTCGGTGGCAACACCATGGGAAGGGATCCAACGTCTCCGAGCTGACGTCCATGGCTGTGTTTCCCAGGCTTTGGGGGGTGCTGGTCCCAAGTGCTAGCAGGGTCCAGGCAGCCTGGTCACAGGCAATCGCGTGTCAAGTGAGAATAGCTGGAGAAGGACAGGATCTTGCCCCCTGCCCCAGACTCTCAGTAACCGGGACTAGTGACCATCCCAGGAGGGACCGACTTGCAGGGGTGAACCTACAGGGACCAGGCGCTCTGCTTCAGGACACAGGATGAGGCTCCATCTTGGCGCTCTGGATGAACTCGTCAGCCGTGGGGTCACCTCCTCTCACCCAGGTGAGTGGAGAGACAGGGAAGCCTCCTGTCAGAGGGCGGGGGTGGAGCTGGGGAGAAGTCAGGGAGGGACCTGCTGCCACTCCCCCTGGGGCCCTGGCTCCTGGAGGCGGCTGTGCCCCGAATAATGACCGAGGAGTGGCCTCCCTGGGAGGAGGTTCTGTACTCAGGGCCTTCTCTCCGCCCAGCTTCTCCTGGAGCCCGAGGGCTGAGTTTGCAACAGTGTGTACCCAGAGACGCCCGAACCTTGAGCTCAAGGGAAACAAAAGGGTGCATGTGCTCAGAGGACTGGGGTGGGTCTTGGGTTCCAGACAGAGGAAATGTGGGGCCCGGAGGGGCTGGCCGAGTTGGGCCTCAACTCCTGCCCAATTCAAACTTCAAGAAGCTGCTGGACCTCCAGTGACCTCCAGGGCTGCAGGGGAAGTGTCAGAGCTGAGCCAACCTGTGTTACCCGGGCCACGTTAACCACACGGAAGGACCCCACGCCAATGGACCGGGCAGCCACCAGTTCAGTTCCTTCGTGCCGGGCCAGCAGGCAGTCACCCACTGCTTGGCTCTGATGTCGTGTAAGGTGAAGCACAGGCTCTACCCGCCTTGGTGAGATATCCAGCAAGGCAGTGGGGAGGTTAGGACAGTTTCTCAACCGGCAAACGTTCCAGCAAGGGTTTGGCTCTTCTCTGACAAACAGGTGGTCAGGAGGGTGGGGGCGCAGTGTCGGCTAATGGGAGCCCTGCCTTCTCTGGGACCAAGTCAGCCACTCAGGCGATGCTCTCTCAATCGACCATCTCCACAGAGTCTCCGTCCCAGATGCCACGAGGGAAATACAGAGTGGCTGCTCCCAGCCACCACCCACGTTGGACACCTGCTGCTGCTCTTCCCCCCGACACGTGGTCCACCGGTGACGCTCAACCAATCTTGTGAAATGAAGGAACCCTTTCCCATCCAGGCTGTCCCCAAGCCTTCTACCTCCACATGTTCTCGACCTTGGTCTTTCTCCTGGGGAGTCTTGGCGCACCCAGCTCAGAAGGACCAGGAGCTGGACCTGGTCACGTTTTGTCCAGAAAGTTCCTGAGCAGTCAGCGGGATCGTCTGGTGTAGAGAGGACGGTCTGGCTGGCAGGGCAGGGTCCAGGCTGGGTGTTTCCCAGTTGAGATTGCCTGTTTGGCCCTGCCTTGGTGACAGCATGAGTGCCTCTTCATTTCCAAACCCCCAAAGAAACTCCACTCAGCCCCCTCGACTTTTGTGAGTGTGTCTTAGACATCCTACAGGAGACAGTCAGGAACGATGAGGCCGGGCCCAGCTTGGACTGCACCTGGGCAGAAGGAAACATCTTCACCAGGAACAGACGACTCATGGAGCAGGAGCTGGCACGTGAGTTCCTGAGGCAGCTGGGCCCCAGGGCCTTGCACAGTGTGGGGAGAGCATATTGGGAAAGACGTGTGAAGACGTCCAAAGGACAGCTGATGACAACAGAGGCACTCCCAGTGACGAAGGGCCACCTGTCTTCTCGCCAGGATGATGGGGGCAGGCTGCTGGCCTCACTGTCCCCTTTCTGAATGGCTGAGTGAGGGTCGCTTTAGACGCCGTGAGGTGGAACGGAACTATCCTCCTGTTTTTCCGCATCAGAAAGTGGGCATCTCTGGGAGAAGCGTTCACCTCTGGCCAGAGATGGGTGGTGTTTCCAACAGCCTCGCTCCACTCTTTGCAGACACAGCAAGCATTACATCAGTGTCCCTGCTGGGCAGCAGGGACAGGCTACACCCTGCCATCTCCACAGGTAGCTGTCGGGAGGCGGCGCAGGGCCCAAGCTCTTGGGGACACACTGAGTGTCGAGCCACTGTCCTGTTCGTTCCCTGCTCCTACTCCTCCCAAGGAGCTGGGTGGCCTCGAGGAAGCTGGGAGTCCAGTGAGAAGACCCTTCCCGAGCGGACCCCTGAGCAGGCCTCCTCCACCCTGGTACCCCAGGACACCACCATTTACACGCTCGGCCCCTGCAGGAACCCTGGGGGTTGGGCTGTGAGGATCTCTGATCCTGGAAACATGGCCAGTACAGAGCCAAGCTCCATCTCTACGCCACCCCATTGCCAGGGGCTGCTGCAGCCCCCCGAGACCCCAGGTGTTCAGACCTCTTGTGCCACAGCCCCTCCACTCCCGTGGGAGAGTTTGGGCTCAGGGGCCAGATGCCTTGTGCCTCACATTCACTGGGTTGTGGGGACAGGAGTGGGGCTGCAACAAGCCCTGCAGGGGCCATAGCAGCCCAGCCGCTGGGGCTGCTTCGGCGCATTGTGTGGGTGGGGAAGACCCCAAGGCTGGGGTTCAGGGCCCCTGCCCCTTGTGCCTCCCCAGCTCCCTCCAAGGGGCTGTGAGCCCTCCCTGGCCAGTGTCCAGCGGACTGGACGGACCCTCTCAAAGCAATAGCAGGAGACGCGTGGGGGTGTCTGACCCATTTGCCTCCATCTACCTACGTGTGCAGTCCTTCTGGTTTGGGGCAAGGTCAAAGCCGGGCCTGCAGTCACAGGCCACCCCACCTTTGGGCGTCTCCCGGCAGATGTGGGCACAGCCATGGTCTTTGTTCATGCAGTTCATACCCTCTGGGAAGAGAGACAGACAAGAGAGGGGTTGAGACCAGGAAGAAAGAGAGAATGACCAGTTGAAATGAGACAGCCGTGTAGTGTCTCAGCCACGTGGCGCTCTTGGGGGCTGCCATTCACACTCGCCGGCACCTGTAGACGGTGGCCACCATCTGGGTAGGAGTCCGTTAGCAAGAGACCAAGGACACGAGGCCCAGGTGTAGAGCCAGGCCGCACACTGGGAGTCACGTTGGGACTCACTGAGGAAATGCCCTGCCCTCGGGCAGCGTCTGAGATACAGTCCACAGGCTCTTGTAAGTCAAGACTGTCCAGCGGTCCTGAGAGCAGGTGTGGTGGCACCGGGCCTTTAAGTGATGGCTATGAGGCACTTTTCAGGGTGCAAAAGATTTCCCTAGCACTTGGGGAGACTCCTCTTGGCTCAGAGAGGACAGGGGATTGGTCAGCGGTGCTAGGTGGGTGTGTCACAGCGGCCGAAGGCTGACGCCATGTCCTGGTCTGCGTCCAGGGGTCACACCCAAAGGCAGATCAGCCCCACTATCCTCCCGTCCCTGTGCTTAAGCACAAATGAGGGGCTGCTGACCCTGGCCGACAGACTGCACATGGCAGCAGCTCTCAGACGGGCCGCCTCACCAGCCCCAGGGCCGCCCTGCACACTGCGCTGCAGGGCTGCGATGCCCCAGTGTGCTGGCTCTAATGTACCCGGTCCATGCCGCCCATGCAGGACCTACAGAGCCATGCAGCCGGGCCGGCCACCCTCACTGGCCTTGACCTGTCCTCAGGCACCTACCTGTCCCGGCGCGCCTGCCCTGGCAGACCCCAGCCCCTGGTTCACGCTCACATGCCTAAGTGCATCCCTGCAATCCGCACGCATCCCGTGGATGGCAGAGGCCACTTTTTAAAGCAAATACGTCCCCATGTGGCGGCTTCAGGCCCCTCCAGCTTGTAGCCTCCCTGGGGTTGACAGGACATGTGAAGCAGAGCTTCCTGCAAGTGCAGGGCTGGCCGTGACCTGGCCCTGCAGGGACCTGCCTCCTGCCACAGAGCTTTCTCACCCAGAGCCTTGTCCAAGGCTGGCTCTCCTAGGCCTCCCCGTTCTCGGGCGCTTGGAAGCCCAGCCTTCGCAAGCCAGCCTCATCACTGTCACCACCCGTCCCAGGCTCCCAAAGGCTTCCACTGTGGTGCCTGACCCTGGGCAGCAACAACCATCTTGTGCCCATTCTGGGTACCAGCCCTTGCAACCTCAGGGAAGGTGGGTTTCACCAGTGCCCCCTTCAGACAAGGGGCCATGGTGAGAAAACTCATGGAAAGGCTCCCCGGGGGCTCAGGACTTGACTGGGACCTCTGACTACAAATCCCTGTCCCCCTGGAGGCCACACTGTGTGCAGGGCTGGGGTGCCCGTCCAGCACGAAGGCCTCGAGGCCCCCAGGCCCCAGTCTGTGCTCCGTGAACTCCCCTGAGACACACCTGGAGGGCACTGCTGTGAACAGGGGTCCTCAGACTGGACCTCTGACTTCCTCACCTTCCCCAATCACCCCTCAGCCCCAGAGGCCTGGCTCTTCGCTTCCCGATGGCCTGGAGACTCAGACCCTCGTCGGCTGACCAGGGCCAACATTTAACTTCCTGGTGACTCATGAGCAATTTCCAGAGTTTATGAGGCCAAGGGTCAAGCAAGAAGTCGTAGGCCACAAGTCCATGAAGAGGCTGACAGCTGATAAAAGGGAAGAGCCATGTCTGCTGACACCCTGGCTCAGTGCCTCGCCTCCCGCCTCCCACGGTGAGGGGCTGGGAAGGGGGCAGTCTGGCACAGGCTTGCAGATGGGCGTCCTGTCCCCAGGACCACGCGTCAGCCTCCTGGCCCTGCCCACTTTAGGCACGGGCCTGGGCCACCCGGAACTCACAGAAGTGGAAAAAGCAAAACCACGTTGGTAGCCATCACAAAGATTCAAACCAAGTTCTGAAGGAAAAATAAGAGCCAAACAACAGACGCACCTGACTGTGTTACTCTTATCCTTTCAGCCTGATCTTCTCTCCTCAAATTGCTGGGGTGACCTCAGGTGCCCAGCTGACCAGCACCCCAGCAGTAAGGCCCATCACAGTGTGACTCTCACGGCCTCCCACACCTCGACTCCAAGAAGCTGAAGCCTGAGTCTCACCTCAGAGCTTTAGAAACCATCAGCTGCTCTTAAACCATGGACTTCTCACCAGGTGATCTTTCTTTCTGACACTCTCGACTCCAGCGGTGTGCTGGTGAAGGCTGAGTAACCGGCTCTGGGGTGGGGACAGTCTCTGCCTCACGGAGGACGGCACAAGCCCAGGAGCAGAGCCCCGCTGTTCCCATGGAGGCACTGACCTCTGAAGGCCGAGGCCTGGCTGGGTGGACAGCCCCATTTCAGGAGAGGCTTTTGGGGCAGAACTCTGTGGAGCCTTTGGGACACAACCAGCCTCCTCTCAGGTCCCCAAGAGACTCCTGCCCTGGCAAGGGTTGGCCTGTGGGTGTGGCCACCAAGTGCCTCTCTGTGGGCCCTGTGCACAAACGTAACAGAACGCTGCACAGTCCTGTGCCCACACACAACAGGAGGGGACTGCTGTGTGCCACGGGGTCTGCACTGGCCGATCTTAGGAAACAGATGCCCAGGCCTTACTTCCTCATCTTAGCCTGGAAGCTGCACTGCAACCTGTTCCGTATCATAGCAACACACAAGCCTCGCTGACAGGCGGGTGTGCACGGGGGCAGTGGTTGGCTGTGCAACCTGGCCTCCTGCAGAAGGAGAGAATCTGCCAGTGCACCGCCGCCATCTCTTCCCTGGCCACGGTGAATGCCATCGTCAATCACCGGTGAGCTCAGAGCCCAGGGCCACCTGCAGTCCCTGCTCACATGCTTCGGTGGCTCCCCGGTCCCCGGAGAACACACAGGATTTGACGTTCACGCCTGCTGCCCAGCTCCGTCTTCCACCACCTTCTACACGTGCTCTGCAGGTCAGCAATCAGAGCATCTGCCGACCACCGTCCACACACGTCCCATCCCACCAAAGACCACAAACGGGAACACATCACACCCACGGTCCCGTATGAATGGGCACAGAGGCAGACGGCAAGACAAACAGGTAGGTGAGTGAGACCACATCCAGGGCCGTGTACAGATTTGGAGGACGGTGGTTCCACATAGTGTTTGTGTGTGCTGTAAATATACCCATATATATAGTAGAGCAAACAGGGGACAAAGTTACACAAATTCCTTAGCCATAACCAAACACTCTGAGGGAATGAGTCACTGGGTGGGGACTCAGGACCACAGCTGTGGGTCTATCAAGGTCAACTGGCAAAACACAGTCCAGAAAGTCAACGTTCTACGTCCTACTGTGGAAAGTAGTGACTGGGGTCTTAAAGGCTTGTGAGCAGCCTTCGAAGATGCAACTACTGGTCCCTCCCCATCCAGAGCAAAGAGAAGTGAAGAAAATCAAATACAATTAGTTCCAAGGACTAACGGGCCACACAAACTTTAGCTGAGACCAGAACTCTATGGTGACGGGCTACTGCCGCTGACTGCTCTGAAAGGGACTGCAACAGAAGGTCCCAGAGGGTGAGAGGAGGAAGTGGAAGACAAATTAAAATAATAAAAAAAAGACCAGGCATAGTGGTCCGGTAAGACTGGTGGCATCCCTAAGACTGGCCCTTAGACACCCTTCAGGCCTGAAACTGAACTCATCCCTGTGGGTCAGCTTACAGGCAAACAGCAGACAGGCCTGTGGGGTGGACGTGTAACACCAGGCAGGTACGCCCTCAGAACAATCAACCACAGAGACCAAAACGGCAGCATTTACCCAGGGCTGAAGCTCAGAAGGCGGAGAGGGATAGGAGAGAAGGACACAGGGAAGAGGTAAACACAGGGAGGAAGTGGGAAGAGAGCTGTTACATTGTGGGGGCCACAATCAATGTCATGAAACAAAACGTGTGTAAACTGCTGAACGGAAAACCAATTTGCTCTGTAAACTTTCACCCAAATCACAACAAGAAGTTAAAAAAAAAAGTCGCTGTTGTTAGGTGCCGTCGAGTCGTCTCCGACTCACAGCGACCCCATGCCCAGCGGAACGAAACAGTGCCCCGTCCTGTGCCAGCCCCACGATCCTTGCTCTACCTGGGCCCCTCGCTGCAGCCACCGGGTCAGCCCATCTTGTCGAGGCCCTTGCCCTTCTTCGTTGGCCCTCCACTTTACCGAGCAGGGCATCTATCTCCAGAGAATGGTCCCTGGAAGATGCCTTAAAGAAAAGAAACAAGAAGTGCCCCCACGCCCCCTCCCCCCGATGTGCCTCTCTTTCCTCCTAGGGCACCCTGTCTTGTCTCCATAAACGAAATCTCAGGCCTGTTTCAAACTCCACCAATCCCATGGAACCTGCTGGCACCTGGGTTACACCCCTGTGCCCCTCTTACACCACTACCACACAGTTGCACCCTGAGTCCCCCACCCCCACCTGGGCAGGGCTGCCTGCCCTCTGGGGCTGCCCGACGCCACACAGAAGAGCAGTGCTTTAAGCCCATGGCTGCCCGGGAAGGACCCGGAACCTCTGTCACTTGGGCTCACAAGGGGTAAAGAGAGGGAACTGAATTTCCAGTCCCAGGCAGAGAATCACAACTTGGGGTAGCCGTCGCCAACCACAGATTTGTCACTGGGCATCAATGCCGCCCTGGACCTCGGCTACCCAATCCTGAGTGTCAAAATCAGTGCATTTCATTCCAAACCATGGGCTTGCCAGGTGATCTTTTTTGCAGAATCTAGACTTGAACCATGAGCCAAGATGTCACTGTCATTCTGTTGGCCAAGGATAAGGTGGGGGAGTGATGCAGGGTTCTACCAAAGTCAATGGGACACTCAGCAACGGAATCTCAAACCAGGAAGGGTGAGCCCACCTGTCAGTCAGTCTCGGGGGTGGTCTCTGTCCGCTCAACAACTGTGGGAGATGAGGATGAGGCTCTCCGCCTCCACCTGAAGACCCGAGATGGA